GGAGGGGAGCCAAGAGGCGCCACTGCGTCGGGCGCCGTCGGGCCCGGGCCGTCGCCGTCCTCCTCCCACTCGCGGGTCGTCCTGCCCCAGCCCTGTCCTGGTCGGTCCTGGCCGGTTCACAATGGGCGAGGGAAGGACGGGAGCGGGCAGGAGGTGAGGGTGCTACGGCCGGCGACCCCCCGCCCCTTGGTACCTTGCGCCCTTCCGGTGTGTCCTCTGTACTCCCACCCCCAGACCGGCACGGAGGGGCATGACTTATGGGGGATTGCCTGCGGTGTCGGTGCCGAGTCGTGCCGCGCAAGTACTCTGGTGGGTGCGCGAGTGCGGCCGGTCCGCAGGCGCGCGCTCCTTGCGCTTCCGCTAAAATAGCACGCACCTCTCGGCGTCGCCCCCGCCCGCGCCCCGCCCGCGCCCTCCCGGTCCCCCGCGCGGGGGGAGGAGCTATTTCCGTCGGCGTGTTGTCGTCGAAGCCCCGCGCCCGGCCCGGCCGCGCCCCGCCACGCCACACAGGTAGGCAGCATTCCTTGCGCGGCCCCGCCCCGTGGAGCCCGCATGCCATCCCGGGGGGCGGCCGTTCGTCACCGCCTGATTTGGGCTCGAAAAAGTGGCCCCTTTCTGCCACGGACGTTGCTCTAGACAGCTCTAAATGGAGAGGGACGGAGGGACAATTTTTGTATGTGGGTTAGATGTGTCTCTGCGCACACCTTCATCACATACGAATTTGTATTTATGTACTGTGCTAGAAGTTGTTCCTAGGCTGGGTACAAACGCATTTTCTGGTATGTAATGTAGATACAAATTTGTTTTTAATCTATATGTGCACAAAGACACAGCTAGTCTACGTACAAAAATAGTTCCTTGCCATTTAGTGTGTATGCTCCAGTATTTGAAGGGGTTTCCACTGATATAGAAAAAGTCGTTGTACTTCAGTGCCAGGCGCAACAGCAGAATAAATTCTTTGGCCCCACTTTCATCAAAATCGATGGGAATGATGTAGATATTTTCCTAATAAGAAGAACAGGAGGAATGACGTCTGCTCCCGGACCATCACAAAGCCTCGGCCAATCAGAGAGGGCCTCTCTCGTGGCCGGCTCCAGATATGTGATTGATCGAGGCTTTCTGATGGACCGGGAGCAGCAGACGATATTCCTTCTGTTCTTCTCATCCGGAAAATAGCTCATTGAAGAAAAGCTGCGCGGACACTTCTCTTACTCACCCAGAACGCCGAGGCGGAAGTTGAAGGTGACCACGATGACGTTGCCGTAGGCGGCGAGCACGGAGCCGTCGTAGGGGGTCCCCGCGTTCCACTCCAGCGACTCCCCGTGGATGTAGACGATGACCGGGAGCCGTGAGGACCGCGACGAGGCTGCCGGTGACAGAACAAAACCATTAGAAAGTTATTTGCTTTGGCCCCCCGTCAGGGCGTGCGCCGGCTTTGGCAGCCGCGCGGGGGCGCGCAGGTCAGTGCCTCGCGCTCGCTAGCACAGCTCGCGCCCCTACAATGAGTGCGTGTGGCCCTTTTGAAAATAATTCCAAGCCGCGTCACGTACTGTTCGAAATAGCCCGCCCGCCCCCTATTCTTGGCCGGCCGGCACTTCTTTACGATCAAGTCGAGGCGTTGTTTGCGCTGACGTCACGCCGTCAGCGGGGCGTGGACGCCCGTGTCGCGGGGCGTGCAGGGCGTACTCATGGCGTGCACCACCGGCCGCCAGGGCCACCACAGCTGGGCGCGGACGCACAGCAACGCCTCGCGGACTGGAGGCGGCGCCAGTCCGCGAGCGGTCGGGATTGGCTCTACCGACAGCCACGTAAATATAACCATCCCCCGGCACCCGCCCCGGTCACCTCCCTTGAGCCGCGGCCAAGAAGGACCGGATGAGGCCCAAGAACCAATCAGAACAGGCCCACTGCCATGTTAGGGCGGGTGTAGTACAAGGGACACGATTGTTAAGGAGAGGCGCACGTACCGGTGCGCACGCAGTGAACGTCCCTCGGGGACGATGCGAGGGCGCGTTGGACTCCGGGCACTTACTGGGCGCCCGTGGGGCGGGCCGCCGTCTGCACGCAGCGGCTGGGCGGGTCGGCCTACCCAGCGCGCAGCAGGCGCCACCAGCGTCGCCCCGCGAGGCGCTCATTGTGGGGACAGCGTACGGAGCCACAACCGGTGAAACGCGTTCGGGAATTAACTGCTTCTGACGTGCGTGTGCACGTGTTGCACGCGGTTGTGGCCGGGAACGACGCCCTCACTGTTTGTTTTGATGTTGCCTATTTCAGTGATTGCAACTCACACCTTCGTCGACATGAGTCTGTCGACGTGAGCGAGCAAACAACACACAGACTTCACGTTCACGTCCGAGGACCCTAGCCTAGGCCCTAGGGGGGGGGGGGGGGGGGGGGGGTCGAATGCAACACGGCATCATCAAATCAGGACCCGTCACCCCCCGTCATAGCGACTGCAATCAAATGGCAATCTATTTGCAATCGAATGCAATCCTATGCGCTCTAGTCTAAAGTCTGTGTTTTTCTCAAAGATTTCGTGGGTACATTAGAAGAGGAGGTTAGGGTGCTGGGCCAACGTGTTAATTAATATAGTATTGGTATTTCGCTGAATCAAAAACAACGGTTGTTTAGGTTATTTCTGCATGCTCCGTTTTGACACTATTTTACTTTTACGTCTTCTACCTGCCCCTGTTTGATCTGTGACAGCGCGCCTCGGGTCACTTGCTACTTATGCGGGACCTAGGTCCCAGAAGTATTGGAATGCTATAATGTCCCAGTGATTATCCTCCACCCTATAGGGTGTGGGAGTTAGGACAGCAAGTTTGTGGAACTACCTGCGATTCTAACTAAATGTTGGCAGATCAGTAGGCCGCCCCCCGGTGCACGCGTGCACTACAGGCGAGATGTTGCCTACCCATCAGGCGCTATGAGAGCTTTCATAGGCTGAACATGGCAGGTTCATAACGGCAAATGACGGGCGTTTGTACGTTCTGACTGATCCCTAATCTCACTGCCGAAGAACAAATCACTAACTGAAAATCCTGGCAATCATGTCTTGTCTCTCTGTTTGCCAAAGTGACGTACAGCAGTAGGCCGGGCAGCCGAATGCCCGACCAAACGCCGCC